TGCTGTCGAAAACCCAAACAGCACTGACGGTGCAGCAGCTCTGGAGTTCGGTGGTTTTCCTGGCTGTAGTCAGATCACATCAGACACTAATATTTGCACTATTTATTGATCAGGAAATTATCAGCTCAAAAAATAAATGACTAAATACTGACAGATGGCTGTTTCTCAACTCAGACGTCCACATTATTCTGAACGACAGTTAAAAACTTGAAGATGTTTGGTTTACGGTCATGTGTGATGAGGAATAATCAATAAATGGATTGAGCATTTATTGATTATTCTGATTGTAATCATCTGTATTCTTTTTTTTCTGTCCAGATTTTAATCTTATAGTTTCTATGACAGACTGTAAAAATCATACAATAAGCTCCACTTATTGTATGATTTGCTATTTGTAATCATGTTGTGGATAAATGGATGAAAAGGTAAACGGCACAAAAGGAAGAGCTGGAGGAGCGTAACCATGGCAACATGATTGGGTATAAAAGAGGCAGAGGTTCACTAATCTTCAAAAAACTGTGTCTGGAAAATGTGGAACAATTCTTCTTGATGTGAAATTGTGAATCATCTACAGTAATATTATCATCAAAGGATTCAGAGAATCTGCAGGAATCTCTGCGCAGTGAACGGCTGAACATCAGTGAACGGCTGAACATCAGTGAACGGCTGAACATCAGTGAACGGCTGAACATCAGTGAACGGCTGAACATCAGTGACACGGCTGAACATCAGTGAACGGCTGTGATCTTCAGACCTGTATGAAGGTTAATGAACAGCATGGAGACAAACTCTCACTGTCTGTCTGTGAAGATTCTCGGTCATCGCAGTCTAAAGCGTTTGGAAACAAAGGGATCTTTAAGTTTCCGGGTCGGTTGCTACTAACAGACTTACATTTTTTTTATTTTTGCTCACAAGCGACAGAACCGATACGTACGAGCGATGAACGCTGAATGAGACGTGAAAGAAACTCAGAGAGCTTTTTCAGGGGGATGATGAAATGAAAGTAAAACATATGTAAATCCAAAGCATCTGACCTCAGCCTTGTGTTCCACATCTCTCTAGATTACACACAACATCCACGAGCAGGAAGTCCTCATCAATAGTTCCTGTTCCAAAAACACATCGAACAAAAGGTCAAAGGTGGCTGCAGGAGACCGCTGAGGACAGTTTGTGCCCATCTCGTCTTTAACAGAGTTTAAATGTGTTTTTCAGCCCTGAATATTTTATGTGGATATCTTCTGTACTGATGATGTTACGTGTGACGGCCAGTGGGCTGGCCTTGTGTTTCGCTTTTTCTGTTACCTGTTTCTTGCAGGTAGGTGGAGCTGACCCAATTATAGATGCAGCACACCTGAGAAGGCCAGTCCCAGTGTATAAAAGGACACCTGGACTGAACCAGCGGGGTCTCTGGCTCTCTCCGTCTGGCACCCATCAGATTCATTTGAGGCTTCAGTTATGGCTGTTATATCATTTCAATTGTGTTTAAGTTTCTTCACCTTATCGACATTAAAAATATCTCACAGCCTTTAAAGCCTGTGTGTGGTCTCCCACTTGCTTGTCACGGGTTGTGACATATGAGAGATCAAAAATGTTGGAAAAAATAATAATTTAAGATTAAATTTTGATCTTAAAGTTCCAGAAACAGGCGAATGTTATCATATGTATATTACTGTATATTTAACCTTTCAATGTCACAGTATTGTCCGATGCAGCTACTGAGAGACGTTACTTTGCAGACGCTCACATGGATCCTGCTGCTGTCTGCAGGTGTTTAACAAGCAAACATCTGCTAAACTCTATGTGTCTATGTAATCTGCTAAATGAATTACTAATGAGTTTCATTAGCCTGCTGGCTGAGCTGCAGTCGGGTTTAACTTCATTAACACTTGAACCTGTAACAGAAGTGGAAACAGTGAAATAGAGGTAGATGACAGGAGTTTGGTGGTTTTGCAGGGAGAAGTGTGTCTTCCTTCTTTCCCTGTGTGATGTTTATCAGTGCTGGTGCTGAAATATGGAAGCTGATGTTTAGAGTATTTCCTGTGTGAGGGCGTTCAGGCTTTGTCCCATTTGCATGGGCAGTGTAACAGCCCTGGACTGTGGGGGCGTGGTCTGAATATAAGCCTGGTGATCAGAGATCACTCACACTCCTGACAGGAAGCATCAGCCTCCACCTGATCATGCAGACACAAAGAAACAGGAGAGGATATATACAACACTTCATAAACTGCAAGCATCTGTGGCTGAATGAGCTGAAGAAGCTCGCTCATGACTTGAAGAACCCGTATCTCCTAAAAGAAAACGTCCCTGAATACCCCCGACCCGAGTTTCACGTGTCTCACCTGAAACACGACACAGAGCGAGGGGCTTTATGTTGGATCAGGACAGACGGCGGCTTCAAGGATCCTCACAGAGGCTTCAGGGATCCACACAAATGGTCCCTGGTGTGGTGGAGTCTGGCTGTGGGGCCCGAGGAGATCAAGGCGGCCGAGACGAGGCTCCTGGAGAAGACCTACCCAAACCAGACGAAGGAACAGGCTGTGAAGCAGCAGAGCTTCCTGTGGAGATTTGCCACCTCTCCGGCCTTCAGTGAGAAGTCCAGGTATGGATCGTACCGCTTCACCTTCCCCCTGCAGGACGTGCTGAGCGCCTACAGCCAGCAGGTATGTTTACATTTACAGAGGGGGAATTTTTTCTTCCTGAAGATACAAACATTATTCAAAACTCAACCACTCTTTATCCACAACAGTCTGAGTTTGTGTCAAAGCTACACATTAAAAATAATAAACACCGTGTGACCAGGAACAATCTGTCAGCTTTTCTCTGTGTGTGTTATCAGTACATCATGTACATTACCTCAGGTGTGTGACAGGTGTGAGTCTCCCACTGAAAGACCTTCTGTTGTGTCCAGTTTTGCTTTGGAGCTCCGCCCATCATGAGAGTGTTCAGGACCTGCCTGTTCAAAAAGAAAGTGCAGTACTCTGTGTTGGTCCACAGCCCAGCCAATCGCGAGCTCTTCTCAGAGTTTCCATTACTTCCTGGTAATGACCCGAACGCTGTCTGCGCGTACAGAGACGGACGCTTCATCTGGAGGTCGGAGGCCATGTGTGAGACACACAGGTGAGAAACACAGATAAACGCTCACAGACAGGAAGAGGGTCAACAAGTTATTGTCTGTGCTCATGCTGAGCAGCAGGGAAGAA